ACAGACAGATAGAGAGAGACAGGGAGACAGATAGATAGAGAGAGACAGGAAGAGAAAGACAGATAGAGAGAGAGACAGGGAGACAGACAGATAGACAGATACTTCATTGATTCCGAGGTATATTTATGAATCCAGTAACACAAAATAACAAAAGGCACAAGAATAATAAAAAGTCAAGATTAAATTAATCTGCAGTGAAAAGAAAGTCTAGGCACCAGAAAGTTAAAGTTACTGTAAAGACGTTTGCTTTAATGGAGATATTAACAATACAGATATTTTAAGATAAGATGTTTGTAATATTCAAGGTGAGAGAAGTAAAATAAGGAAACAAAAAAAAGATCCTTAATGTGCGTGTGTGAATCGCTAAAAATGACCATCTAATCCAAAATGGCTGATTTCCTGTTGGATTTTGAATAAGGGTCCCCTGACTTTATGTCCGTCTGGTCCTGATACATATTAGATTAGATTAGATGAACTTTATTGATCCCAGTTGGGAAATTGTTGTAATTTGCTCAACAATATTCATGCAAATTGATTAAAAATAAAGCTACAGGGCTGCACTTTAGGGGGCCCTATGGAATCAAATGGGCACAAGAACTATTTGACTAATACATTTCATGCAAATGTGAATTTTGTAAATCATAATTCCTTGAATTTAAATAGATTCCTCCTAGTAGTCCCTGCTCGGACCCTAATTAAAGAGACAGAATATCAGAGTGAAATAATGAAATCATCAATCTGATTGAACGATCAGATTAAGAAATGAGATTAAATCATCTGATTATTTCCTCTGATTAAACAATCAGATTAAGTCATATGATTAATTCCTCTGATTTAATCATCTCGTCCCAGTGATTAATTATCCCAGTAAAATATTTTGTGTTTTAATGTGAACACAACCTGATTTGATTTTCTGATCATTTTCTGAATGAACAGATTCAATAACTGAAAACAAACACATTTCGGCTTGTTTGTTCTCTGTGTTTTCTCAGCTCGGTTGATTTGATGAAACTTAATTAAAGTCACGAGTTTGAGAAAAGGCTCGTCTTTTCCCCAGAAAAACTAAAACTTTACTTTCAAGAAGTTAAATCAAGTTTCATGATGAAATTAAAAATGAATAAAAGAATCCTGTTGTGTTGATGAGTTCGTTCATCAGCATCTATTGTCCTTGTGTCCTGGAGACGGATCCTCACGTTACTGCTCAGAAAGTGTCTCTGTAGTTTGACTCTTGTTGAGTTAAGAACAGAAGATGTTGCTGCTGGTTGACATCGATGAGACAAACTGAACATGAGACAAATAAAATCTGATTGATTGAAAAGTAGAGACTCACCGAGAAGCAGCGCGAGCTGAAGCTGCGTCATGTCTGATCCTCGAGACGAGAAACCAATTCACTTCGGTTCAGAACCAGACTTTTATAACAAGACCTCCCTGAAAACCTCCGACCCAGAACAAACCAAACCCTCCGGACCCTGAGCCGCTGTGACCTGTGACCGATGTCCACCTCTAACCCGCAGAGACTGAGAAGTGAACCCGCAGAGACTCGGACCTTCACACCTGAGAACCCAATACCCCGGCGACCTTTCAAAATAAAACTTTTCGTGTCATGAACAGCTAAAACTTTTTTTGTATAAAAGAAGAAAATTGATACATTTAAAATATAAAACTTGTAAAAGA